CTGTGTTGACTGTTGTGGTTTGGATTTTTTTTTAATATTGTGAATGTTGTGTTCTTAATGGTTTAGAGGATTTGCGATTGTTTAGTTACGGTTTGATAAAAATGGGACTGTTGTGTTCTTAATGGTTCTTATAGCATTGTTAAACGACTTTGGTGTTAGTTTATATTTGTCTACGGATTGGTTATTTAATATGGAGTGTTATAGACTGTTTGTCTCTGAGATTGTTATCGAGAAAATGTTGAGCTTTATATGTGATCAGAGTCTGTTGGCTGTGTGACTGTGTGCCTCTCTGTTATTCTTTATAATGTTGTCAATGTCCATTCTTTACTATTCTATTGGAGAACAATTTCTTAGCCTTTGAAGTATAATAGTTATTTTGTCAATGTCTTTCAGGTTAAGAAAACATGGGACAAGACTATAGCTACAACCAGCCTTCTTCATCAGAGGATTATGATATAGGGTTTGCATGTCTTCTTCAAGCAGAAGCTGATGCTGAGAGTAACTACAACCTTGCGGAGGTGGTTCTGTACCCACCTCAACCCGAGTGTGATGATGGAATCCCGAAGACATGCTACTGTGGTGATGAGCCTGTAGTTGCCACGTCTTACACCTCAAAAGATCTAAGGAGAAGGTACTTCACGTGTGAAAATATCGATGATGGAGACTGCCATGTGTGTAAATGGTTTGATGTGGCTGTTATGGAAGAATTGAACGACATTCAGAGACAACTTAGGCTGGTGAAGGTTGAAATGGTGATTAATAAAGAGGTACATTTTTAAAACTTTGCAATAATTAATTTTAGCCATTTTAGAATTCGAAATCATTTTGGTTGATAATTTTAAAGGAGTTTAAACCATTTCACTTGAAATTTTTTGTTTCAAGGAGGGATTAGCAAAAATATCATCATCCTCATCTGACGAACTTGAAGAAAGATTAAACGAAGCTTTCGACGATGTCTTCAAAGATATATACAACAACATTGTGGAGGCCCAACCCAAAAAGCAAAGGAAACATGCTTATATAGAACGAAACCGTGAAGAAGGATACAACCATTTTTGGAATGACTTTCAGCGAAGATCCGACATTTCTGGCACATTTATTCAGACGCCGTTCCGCATGAACAAGGAATTATTCATGCGTATAGTCCATCGCCTCTCAGAGGATGTCCCATTCCTTCGACATAGAACAAATACAACCGAGAGGTATGGTCTATCTCCCCTACAAAAATGTACGGCTGCAATTCGTCTGCTTTCTTATGGTTCTGCGGCTGACACGGTTGACGAGTATCTCCGACTTGTTGAAAGCACGGAAATTTTGTGTTTACAAAAATAATACAATTATTTGGAGATGAGTATCTACAAAGACCCACACCAGAGGACCTTCAACGACTACTCGATATTGGAGAGAAACGCGGGTGTGGTAGGAAGCATTGACTGTATGCATTGAGAGTGGAAAAATTGCCCAAACGCTTGGAAGGACAATACACACGTGGATCAGGAAAACCGACAATTGTCTTAGAGGATGTAGCTTCACACGATCTTTGGATATGACACGCTTTTTTTAGTCCTGCAGGTACCTTAAACGATATTAATGTCCTCGATCGGTCTCCAGTTTTTGATGATATTTTACAAGGTCGAACTCCCAGGTTAGAGTACGTGGTCAATAGACACATGTATAATTTGGCGTAGTACCTCACAGATGGTATATATCCAAGATGGTCAACATTTATCCAATCTATCTCACTCCCTCAAGGTCCTAAAGCAAAGTTATGTGCTAATGTTCAGAAGCAACCCGAAAAGATGTGGAGCGCGCTTTTGGAGTATTGTAAGCTCGATTTGCGATTGTGAAAAACCCGGCTCTTTCATGGACAAAGAAAAGATATGGCATATTATGAGAGCATGTATCATACTACACAATATGATAGTCGAAAATGAACGAGATGGATACACTCATTACAATATATCTGAATTTGAAGAATGAGAGACATCCAGAAGTTCACGGGTGGATATGTTCTATAGTTCCGACATGCCTACAAATCTCGGTAATATGCTTGGCGTTCGGAATCATCTTCGCGATAGGCGTATACATGAACAATTGAAACATGATTTAATTGAAAATATTTGGAACAAACTTGCTGATGAAGATTAATTATTATATCTTTATTTTTAATCATCCAATAAATAAAAATAAAAATTACACATATTTTAAAATTTATTATTTTTTATTCTTAAGGATTTATAATTGAGTAACACCATTGGACTAACATTTTCAATTAGAGTCTTTAGGTATTTACTAGATTTTTGACATGCGCTTAAAAAGCGCGGGTACTATTTTCGTTGTTTTATCTACAGATGGATCGATAAGTCTTTTGTTTTGATGATATAAAATGTCACAGAATCAAGATCAAGTTATTATGCGGGTATACAAATTTTTTATTTTATAATGTCTCAAACAATTTTTTTATGTTTCTAAATCAGTAATGGTTATACCTGAAATGTGTACTTGAGAAATATTGTATATTTAACAATTAAATGGTCCATTTTTTTTTGTTTTATGATTAATCCGTAAAATTATTTAATTACAAAATTTCAATCACTCAGTCCGATCCGCTCCGTCCAACCCGTTCCGTAGCGGATTGAGTCATTTTTGACTGAAAATTTTTACCCTGATCCACAAAGAAAATATATTTTTGCAAGAATTTTTTTTATAAAATTTGAATAAGAATCAGCCCATTAATAAAACTCATTAGTATATAGTTAATACCATTAATAAAAAAATTAAATTTGTTCATAAAATTAAAATTATTTAGGAAAATATAATTATTCTTGTTTTAATGGTATTGATAAAAAAAAAACTTAAAATATTTCTAAGGATTCCGCTAGTGGTAACACCACCTCTTGTTCGTCTCCTTTGTGCTTTTATACTTGTTTCTGTCGATCCAATAATTACAACAATGCTTACGTAAGTCCTCTTTGAATAAGACTTTTTCAGTTCAAACAAAATAAGTCCTTTTGAATAATACCCCAGTGGATGACAAAAAAAAAAAAAAAAGTAATAATACCCCAATGTATTCACATAACAACTGTTACATTTATCACAAAATGGACGCGGGTTACCATTGCACCGCCATATCCCCTATATATTAATTAAGTAATATTTGAAAAGATGTAACCTCAATTTTGTATTAATTAAAAGAGGTCGCAATATATAGGTGTCATTCAATTAGATAGTTAATTAGATTTAATTGAAAAATAAGTAAGTTCACATTGGATTTTTATAGGTTGCTAGATAAATTAGTTAGGCAAACTATATGATATAATGATATGATATGCTATTTTCTTTACATAAATAAAACATACGGAATTACCATAAATGACTAATATATATATATATATTAATTGAGGAACATTTGAAAAGATGTAACCTCAATTTTGTATTAATTAAAAGAGGCCCCAATGCATAGGTGTCATTCAATTAGATAGTCAATTAGATTCAATTGAAAAATAAGTAATTCCACATTGGATTTTTATAGGTTGCTAAATACATTAGTTAGTCAAACTATATGATATAATGATATGATATGCTATTTTCTTTCCATAAATAAAACCTACGGAATTACCATAAATGACTAATATATATATATATATGACACTTAATGATTGTTCCCTAAGATATAATTACTATTTTATTTTATTTCCATAAATAAAACTTACGGAATTACTATAAATGACTAATATATATATATGACACTTAATGATTCTAATAATAAATATTTGATAACAGTTTATATATCCTCCATCATTTTTCTTTAATTTTAAATTATTAAAATAAATTAAACAATCAAATTAGCTATGAAATTAAACTTTAGATTTTTTCGTATATGTTATATTTTGAATTTTAAGAAACGAGAATAAATAACTAAACTATTAAAATTATTATGTTAAAAATTAATGATCAATAGTTTAACATTTTATTATAAAAAGATATACATGATTTTAAAACCATATAAGTAAAAAGTATCATTCAGTAATAAAACAAATATATATATATATATATATATATATATATATATATATATACAGATTAAACTATATACCATATAAGATTACATAAATATTTTAATTTCAAAATTTTCAATAAATTTTCAAGAACATTTATAAATTATAAACTTATTAAATTTTTCACATTGAAATTTTTTGTTATCAATGATTTAAATATCTTAGTTCTTTTTTTAATTTTATATTTTTAAAAGA